GAATATTGCACAAACGATGTACAAATACTCACAGAAGCACTGATTGCCTTTAGAAAAAAATTCACAGAAATTAGCAAGAAGAAAAACACACAACCTGGAGTAGCGGCAGAGGGAATCGATATTTTGAAGGATGCAATGACAATAGCATCGGCCTGCATGAAGCATTTTCGGCTCAACCATCTGCAACCTGAACACCTGGCAATCGTCCCCGAAAAAGGATATGAGAACTGTGATAATCAAAGCGAGCTTGCCCTAAAATATTTACAATGGTACGAAGAAACAAAAGGAGTGGAAATACAATATGCACATTCAGAAGGTGGGGAACATGTAGTTGCTGGAAAATATAAAGTTGATGGGTATATACAGGCAGAAGATAGGGCAATTGAAGTAAATGGGTGTGTTTGGCACGCTTGTAAAAAATGTTGTGGAAATGAACTGGACAAAATTTTACCCAATGGAAAAAGTGTAGGAGAAACACGTGAAGATGATGAAAAAAGATTGAAAATAATTAAAAAATATATAAAGAATGTTGATATAATATGGGAGTGTGAAATTCATCAAATGCTGCGCCGCAACAAGAAAATGAGAAAATCTTTTGCAAATTACCACAATAAAGGGCCAATAAATATTCGAGATTGTTATTTTGGTGGGAGAACTGGGCCATTGCAAATGTACTTTGACGCAGAAAAAGAACAACATAAGATTACCTACTTGGACTTCAATTCTCTTTACCCCTCAACAATTGCTACAACATCATTTCCGGTTGGGCATCCGAAAGTGCATGTTGTACCATTGGCTGAACAAAAAGTCTACTGGACAAGATATGAGCAGATCCCATTCAAAGGAATTTTAAAAGTATTTTTATTGCCCCCACCGCAACTGGATGTTCCTGTGATGCCCGTCAAATTTGATGAACGTCTTCTTTTCCCGCTATGCAGAAAATGTTCACTCACATACCCAAATGGCGCAAACATCAAAGATTATCGCTGCCCGCACAATGACGAAGAGAGAGGGTGGGTCTCAACATGTACATCGATTGAATTAGAAGAGGCATTAAAAGTTGGATACACAGTAACAAGATTTTATAGAGCATTACATTATGAGAAATGGGATGAAAATTTGTTTAAAAATTATGTGGCCGAGTTTATGTCAATGAAAATACATGCGAGCGGGTTCCCCGAAGGAATAGAAGGAAAAGAAAGTGAGGATAAATTTATAAAAGAATGTAAGGAGAAATTTGGAATTGAACTTCAAAGAGAAAAAATGGTTCCGGATCAGGCAATGCGGTACATTTCAAAATTAATGCTTAATTCATTATGGGGAAGGTTCAGCCTAAGAAATACCCTATCAAAAAGTGTAATCATCAACTCCCCCAATGAACTACTTGAATTTGACAGCAACAAATCAATTGAGGTACAATCTGTTGACGAGTTAACTGAAGAAACAATTCTACTGACTTATAAACCAAGAGAAGAATTTATAATTGAACATGACACCTCAAACATTGTGATATCACTATGGACAACGTCCGCAGCAAGAATTAGACTTTTGAAAGCAATGCAAAAGGTTGCGGGAAAACTTGACTGCAATCTTCTGTATGGGGACACTGATAGCATACTTTTTTCACACCCAAAGGACAAGGAGTGTCCGCTGCAAACTGGCCCCCACCTTGGCGATTTGGCAAGAGAATATGCAGGATCTGAAATAAAAGAATATGTTGGAGGGGCGTGCAAGGCTTATGCACTGAGAATGGAAAACAACAAAAATGCCAAAATTAGTAGTGTCCTAAAAGTACGCGGCATCACCTTAACAGCTGATGTCTGCAAAATCCTCCACTTTGATAGTTTCAAAGAAAGCGTACTTCAATATGCGAATGGAGGAAATGACAATGAGGAAGATGAAGACGTGGATAGGGGAACAATTATGATTGAAAACCCAAACTTTATTCGCCGCAACGTGAAGGACGGTATGGTTTATTCAACTAAGATGAGAAAAATATTTAGACCAATTATACAAAAAGGGATAATTTCTAACCTCAAAATTGTACATTTTGGACAAAAATAATTTCATTTTTCACAATATATTTTCCACCATATTTTATTATTTTTGTCCTTTAATTTATTCACAAAATTTTTTGATTGTACTTTAATATTTTTACAATGTTATTTAAATTGTATTTAAACTTGTTGATAAATTGTTATATTATTAAAATTATTAATGAACTTTAAGGATTACTAGATAAGATTAAGTTAATGCTAAGAGTTGAAAAATAAAATTGATTAAAACTTAAGGATTAGAAGATACAATTGTTGCAAAGTTAAGAGATAGAAGATACAATTCATGAAAAGTTAGGCAATGGAAGATGTAGATTTTGGGGGTAAAAGTGCAATGTTAAGCAAAAGGAGTCACAATTGCTGCAAAGTTAAGCAAAAGAAGACACAATTGCTGCAACGTTAAGGGATAAAAGATAAAATTGATGCAAAGTTAAGAGAAATAACACAAATTTTTAGTAAAAAAGCCAAAAATAGCCGTGTCCCACACATTTCTTATTGGCTGGTGTAAGGGGGTGTGTGCTCATTGGTTAAAGATGCAGGTATATATTCATGAGCGTGCAATGTACAGTATACACGCTCCTTATTGGTGGTGTATGAGGAAAGCCCCAATTGGATAGATCTGTGTATATATTTTCTGTTATAGTTGTAAGGGGAGACGCTCATTGGTTGAATGCTAGTGTGTATACCTTTGTTAAATTACTAATTTTAAAACAAAGACAAAAGTAATCATTATTAAAAAATAAAAAATGTTAAAGTTTTCGATTATATTATTATTAATTATTCCGTCCTTAGTGGCAGACACTTGGGACTCAAAACCCTGGAAGAGAGAAGACTATGTGACAACATTATTTCGGAGGACGCCACTGCCTATATGGCGGAGAACACCGCCACCAATAATTCCTAACAGAGATAAAAATACTTCAGTGGAAATACCAATATGGCGGAGAACACCGCCACCAATATTTCATAGCAGAGAAAAACACACAACAGTGGAAATACCAATATGGCGGAGAACACCGCCACCAATATTTCCTAGCAGAGAACAAAATATTTCAGTGGAAATACCAATATGGAGGAGGACACCACCCCCAATATTTCTTAACAGAGATGTAAATAATTTAGGAGAGATTCAAAGAGGAGATAAATTGAAAGATAAATCGTTCAATAAAACTGATGTCAGAAAAATATGGTTTATAAAAGATATTTTTTATCTGAAGACGGATTTAGCCAGGAAAGCAGAAATAAAAAATATGGGGCGGTGGATTCTACGTTGGGATCTTTGGGACAAAAAGTTCAAATCTGGCAAATATAATAGAACAGACTACTTAATGTATTCGAGATGGCGATTTTTATACGAACCTCCTATTTCTAAGATTATCGATTTTTTCAAAAATTTGTAAATATTTTTAAGTTTTCATTTTTCGTGTAAAATTATAACAATTTACTTGGTATAAAATTTTCGTATAAATTAATCAAAAGATATCAAAACATTGCGCTTTTCCCATTTATTGGGGCTACCTTCTATTTCAATCCACAATATTCCTCGTCTAGATTTTCCATTAGTGGGGGTAGGTGGTAAGCTTCCGGCGGATATTGGAGCACTGTTGAGACTAAGTGTTGATATTGACGAAGTCGCATGTGTGCGCCGATTTTTAAATGTTGAGCTACTTATAGTTGAAGGGGGTGTTGTAGGGGTAAAACATAAAAGCTCTAGCGGGTAGTATCTCTCGCAAATTCCATTCTTTGTAATTGTTCTTTCGATAACACACTGATGAAACGGGTGTTGGAGTTTTATCTTGTGGTGAGCAAAGAAATATGCCGCAACGGATATGTTGAATGGGTAGCCTAAATCGCCGAAGGCTTTGATTAAATGAGAACCTGATGTTGTAATTCCATCACATCTAACACTACTTTTCACTCCGTTCCTATCAGAATAATTTGTCTCTAACTTCCCCTTTTCATTAATAAATTTTGCTATCAAGTCGGCATTTTCTTGATACATTAATCTATATCTCACCAAATAGCTCGGACAGTTCAATTTTTTAGAAATCTCATCCAAAATAGTGTTCATATTTTAATGATTAATATAAATGATTAATTAAATTGATCCAGTAACTGATTAAACTATTAGGTTCAAAGAAAATTTTGCCCTTTTATACGCAAAATTTGACCTTGAAAATTGGCAAGTATTACGAAATAGTTGAAAAGGGCGGAGCCAAGGGGTATATAAGGCAGGGAATTTTCCAACTTCTCATTCATTTCTTCATTCATTAAAATTTGCAGTCCAACTTATTAAATATAAAATGAGCGGATTAAAAAAAGAAAAAATTCCAAAAATGGAATTAGCTAATGAGCCAAAATTTGAGGAGGAAGAGATTATTGAGTTGGAAGTGGAAAAGGAAAAAGAAATTATCAATAAGGCAAAATCCCCCACCTCAAAAGTAGCTAATGGGAAGATTCAGAAGAATAATGGGATAAATCCGCGTATTCTGTGGAAACTTGTGCGCATAAAGGATACCCCGCGGATAGAAATTAGAATTTGCAAGAAATGTGCCAATGCGCTTTATAACGATAAAAATAAATTTACTCAGAAGGAAAATGGGAATATTGGCATTTGCTTTGAGATTTGTGAAGCATGCGCTAAATTAAATATGCAGCTCAAGGACTTTGTTGCTGAATGGGATGAGAAGAATTTGCAGAACTTGAAAAAGTGATTAGTGATTAATTTTTTCATTAAAATTGTTATTTGTTATTATTTAATTTCGTTAATTGTATTTTTTTCAACTTTAGATAAAATTTTTTGAATTTTTAACATTGGAATTTTTAAACATAGGACACTAACCCTTTTCCGAAGGCCACGCCCATTTTCAGAGTATAAATACCGAAAAATTCCCCAGGATCAAACTTCCACTCAAAAATTGAATTCATTCATAAAATTTCTTAAAAATGTCAGTAATTGAAAATAATTGTCAGCTCTTGGAAAAAGTTATCCCCGAGGTTTTATTTACAGTTTCTTCTTCTGGTGTGACAATTTCGTCACCGCGGCTGATAACCGCACGGTTTGTTGAGTTTGACATGGCAGGGAAATGCAAAAGCTGCAGGGGAGAAAATGTGGACATAGATTTTATTGTTACTCCGAAGGATGTAACCCTATATTGCAACCGACTAAAATCAGAGAAAGTAGTAATGTTCGACCATATTTATGAGATTCCTCAACAATGTGTTTTTCGCGTAAAATCAAAAGGAAAGAATTTTAATATTTTTCACAAGGAACAAATCTGGAATGAAAAACAGTTCATCACCTGTAATGAGCAAATGAGTGTCAAGGAATTTTTGGCAAAGTTTCCACAGAAGGCTCAATTAGAGAAAGATGAAACAAAAGAAAATATAAAGAAAGATAAAGAAAATAAATTAGAAGAAAAAGGTAATTCAACACCCCCTCTTAACCATTAATCATTGTTTACATTTTTATTTTCAACAAACATTTTTAAACATGAATCACCACTTATTTTCCAATAAAGATTTAAAATTAAAGCTTCCATTTGGATGTATTATTAGCGGCCCAAGTTCAACTGGTAAAAGTACATTTGTACGAAAATTAATTTCCTACTCTGCCCAACTTATTGATCCTATCCCAAAATCTATTCTTTACTGCTATGGCGAATATAATTCTCTTGTCCCCGAACTACAGCGAGCCGGAGTCTCAGTTTATGCCGGAGTTCCCCCAGAGGATCTTATTAAGAAGCAGGAACAACCCTCTCTAGTCATTCTCGATGACCTAATGTACTCCATTGACGAAAAATATTTATCGGAACTTTTCACAAAGAAATCTCATCATCTTAATTTTGGCATAATTTTCATCACCCAGAATCTCTTCGAGAAAAAACTCAAAGTCGCACGTCAAAATTCTATGTATATTGTATTAACTCGCGCACCTAATAGTGCATTGGCCGTTCGTAATTTAGGAGTACAATTATTCCCAGGAAGATTAAATTATTTTCTCGACGCATATCGACAAGCTACCAGCAGTAGTAATTATTCATACCTCTTTATCGATTTACACCCCTCATCAGACCCAACACTTAGACTAAGAACAAATATATTTAGAGACAAAGAATCAGACGACCCCTATAATTCACCACCCATTATATTTTTACCCAAAAATTCCTCTAATTAAAATCATGTCAACGAATATTAGTCAACTTGTCAAGGACAACTTACAATTTCTCAAACAACTTGCAAAAACACGCTCATTGACTAAAAGAAGACGCCTTTTAAAGAAAGCTTCAACTGACCAATTACTTTCTCTCACTGAAATTTGTTTTAATATAGTACGCGATAAATTTAAATTAAATAAAAGACAAAAATCTCGCCTTCTTCCATTCGCTAATTTTGTTCGCCGTGTAAGTAGATTAAAATCAGAAAGAGGAGCCAAACGTACAGTAATACAGCAAGGAAGTGGTTTACCAATAGGATTGTTTCCCGCCCTTCTAACCCCAATCATTATTGAGTTAACAAAGACATTGATAAGCAGTTAATAAAATGGCAAATAAATTTATATTGATTCCTGAGGATATATATCGCGGCTTACTTACTCACCCCTTACCAGAAACTGGAAATATCAATTTGGATTTCACACGAGAAAATTTGGAAAATATTAAGACTCAAAATGCCAACACAGAATTGAAAAATATTAATTATAATTACATTGAGACGGTATTTACACATGTTGAAAGATCAAAATGAGAGACCAATGAATGTTTCAGTCCGCCAGATGGATGATCCAGCGCTAGAGCAAATCAAAAAATTACTTCCCCTGCTCCAATCAACCTCCAATGAAAACCGTCAAGTAACCGAAACCCCCCAAAAAGATTTTAAACATAATATTGCCACGCCAAAATTGTCCCCGTTAAATGAAGGTGGCGATTTAAATGAGGATGATCTTAGTATGCACACGGCCGAGGAGGAATCTCCGGGTTCCAAGAGGAAAATGGAGCCAAAGGTGTCAACAATAAAGGAAAAGACAAAGGAAATTTTTGAAAATATGAAACAGGAAAATCTAGATAAATATGATGTGAACACAGATGGGAAGATTTTAAGTAAGAAGGGAGGAAAAGAAATACAGGGAAGCAATGCACAAAAATCTCTAGAGTGCATTCTCCGTACAGGAATCAGTGGGAAATTGAGATGGGGAGAGTTGACACCGCCGGGGACATCAGTTTTAGAAAGTAAATTAAAAAGTGATAATAAAATTTGGCCGTTGATAGAGAAGGCAAGAGAGAGTTGTACTCCAAAAAGGACTATTACAAAGCAAAAAAGAAAAATAGCTGAATCCAAAGAAATACCTGAATCAAAATGGAGACCCCCAGCAGAGTGGAAATGATATTAGATAAACTTTACAATGATCCAGCGAATCCAGCAGGATTTGCTGGTGTAAATCAACTATGGACAGAGGCTAGGAAAAAAGATGCGAGTATTAAAAGGAAGGATGTTGAGGAATATTTAGAAGGTAATAGAAATATTTAGAAGGTATCAATAATGCCTAATTCTAATAATAAAAAACGTATTCGTTCAAATTCATTGGAGAGCTCATCCTCTGATACTACAATTGTGCCTAACTTAAACTTATCACCAGAGCAGCTATCGCAGATAGCTGTTATGGTTGCAGAATTATTAAAGCCATCAATTGAAACAATTATTCAGACAACTGTCAGTGAAATTTTTAAGCAAAATTCTAATAATTTAAACAATATTAACACAATCAACAACAATAATCATAATCAAAATAGCCCACTCTGGGGTCAACCTCCATCATTTATTACAGACAACAATTTATTTTCAAAAATGGCGACATATGCTGCGGAAAATCCTGACACAATTAACAAAAAATCGAAAATAGCCGTGGTTGAAAAGATGCCTTTTATAAGTGAGGAAGATGACAAGCGAATTGTTGAAGAAATTGTAAGTAAATGTAATCTTGGTGATAAACTTGACAAAAATACCCCACCTTTTCGACATAAAACTAAATTTTCTCAAACAAATTCTTCTAGGCCTCAGCTCATAAAAATACCCTTTATAGATAATGTTTCTCGTAACTATTTTATTCAACAATTTCATAGCATTTCTCGTACCATTTCCACAATTCCTAACAATGTATTTGCTCGCCGTGACCTTAGTCCTCCTGAGCTACAATTTTTGTATCAATTACGTAGGCATGCCTACTCACTAAATAATTCGTGTGGTCTTTATAAATATGTTATATCTGATTTGCATATCAGAGAACTTAAAAATCCCCGTCCTTTAAAGAACAAAACTACACAATAGGGACTCGCGAACACCAGAGGTAAAGAAATAATTAAAAATGAAATTAGTGGAATATTAATTAATGCACGCTCAATGACCAATAAAACCGATGAATTAAAATTTATTCTAGATAAACACAAAATAGGCATAGCTTGTATTACTGAGACTTGGCTCAAAAAAAATAATACTATCTATAATGATTTCTGCTTTAATAATCAGTTCCAACCTTTATTTGCTCATCGAGAAAAACGCAAAGGGGGAGGCTGCGCTATCTTAATAAGTAATGGTTTAACATTTAGGTGTATTTTCCAAGGTAGTAAATTCCAATGCGAGCTTATTTGTGTTAAATTACTCATAGCCCAACCTATTTTAATTATTTGCATATATAGGCCACCTGATTGTACAGTTAAAAATACAAGGAAAATATTAAAATATATCTATAATCTATTAGGCAATACTAAGAGATATATAATTCTGGGAGACTTTAATACCCCTAATATTAATTGGAATATGTTAGCTGCTTCTGATCAGATTGGGAAGGTTTTACTTGAATTTATTAACCAAACAAATGCAATACAGTCAGTTAATAAGCCCACAAGAGAGAAAGCTATACTAGATTTAGTTTTATCATTCCCTGATAATTTAGTTAGCACTAACGTGATTGAGAATTTTTCAACATCAGATCATAATATGGTTAAGTTTAAAGTATGTATTAATGAAAGATGTAAAAGAATAAAACAAAGCAAAGTTTTAGTAAGAAATATTAATAAGAAAAATCTTAACGAATGTAGCAAAAACATAGCTAGTATAAATTGGGATTACATACTACCCTACTACTTTAGCATAGAAGAAAAATATTCTAAGTTAACAACATGTCTACTGGGTATATATGATAAAGTTATGCCACTAAGACCTATTAAAAAGATAATAAAAGAAAAGTATTCTAGGGATATTAAAGACCTTTATAAAAGAAAACTTTCAACTTACAACGAATTAAAGAAAACCCCTTTGAATATTGATATTAAAGTGAAATATAAAATTATTTCAAAACAATTAAAAACAAAAATTCAATCTCATCATCTTAAAAAAGAGCAAATTGCCATTTCCAAAGGCTATAATTCTATTCATAAGTTTATCAAGAGAAAAATGGGTGATAATGGTTATATAGCATTTCTTACAGATTCCAATGATAAAATATACAAAGATAACTTAGAAAAGTCCAATATACTAGCTAAGACATTTTTAACTAATTTTAGCGACAAGAAGTTGCAAGATGAAGTTATAAATGAAAATAACGAGCTCTCGATGCTAGATTTAGACTTAGATGTAATTCAGATTAGAGAACTATTAAGGAAGCTTCCTAACAAAAATTCTACATCTCCGGATGGAGTTCCTTATATATTACTGAAAAATTCAGCAGTAGAACTAGCCCCAGTACTAACTGAAATATTTAGAATAATATTAGATAGTGGAAATATTCCGAAAATATGGAGTACATCTATAATTATACCAATCCACAAAAAAGGTGACAAATCAGATCCTAACAACTACAGACCTATATCACTAACATGTACGCTCTGTAGAGTATTAGAGAGAATAATTAGTATTGAAATAATAAGATTTTTAAATAAAAAATCTTATTTTTCTGATGACCAATACGGATTTCTAACTAACAGATCAACATCAACACAAATGCTAGTAATGTTAAATGATTTTTATAAGGCGATACAGGAAAATAAATCTATTGATTTAGTATATATTGACTTTGCTAGAGCGTTTGATTCAGTACCTATTAACAGGATACTCTATAAATTGAAATCAATCGGTATATCTGGAAAGATATATATGTTTATTAAGAATTTCCTAGAAAACAGAACATTTAGAGTTAAGATTGAAGATACCCTTTCTGATAGCTTTTCAACTTTATCTGGTGTACCACAAGGCAGTGTACTCGGACCACTACTTTTTCTAATATTTATTAATGACTTACCAAAATATCTACCTGAAAGTATAAATATAAAAATTTATGCTGATGATGTGAAGCTATATATTGAACATAAAAATGATTTTAAAACTGAAATTCTATCTGAAGCTCTAGCATGTATTGAACAATGGTCTATTATTAATGGCTTAGATATTTCACTAGAAAA